AATGCTATCTGCTATCCATTAACATCATATGAAATGTACTGGAAAAAATTATCCAAAAACTAAATGACCAGTTTTAAAATCAATTTCGATTATTGATTATAATTCTAAAAGAGGAGCAACTGACAAAGTTGACATACAAGTTAACTTTGTTGAATGTGTAAGAAAATTTATCAAATAGTATAGAAAATTATTTTTTCATATACATGACTTATTAGTCTTTAACTCCTATTTGCTTTACAAAATGCATACCGGAAAGAGATCGGAATTGATAGACTTTCGTTTACAACTTATACATGAAATTTGACGAAGCTGTCATACTTCAAAAGCTACAATTGGACGATCTTCACAGGACTGTAAATCAACTACATTCACGAGAGAATCTTTCCAGGTGCTAAAAAGCTTTTGAGCTCAAGTTTTGCTCATAGGTAGGAGATGTATAGACTAGGAAAATCCTAAGAGAATATGAGCGCAAATTCCGATTTGGCTGAGATATTGACTTTTTATTACAATCTTTCTCTAGGACTTGACTTTTCCAATAGAATCAAAGTTTCGAGTTTTGACTTAAAACTTTACATAAATCGAGGTCTCAATCAGACTAGCTTGTCTACAAAGTTTCAGAATTTCTAGATGAATTCTCTTCGAAATATGGATTTTCCAAAATATTCGTGCAGAATACAATATCTATAAAAAACATTTATAAGGTAATCTATTGGTGTCTCAGGAATAATTTATTCAGAAATTCTGAAATTTTGTAGGCAAGCTAGTCTGATTGAAATCTCAATGTATGTAAAATTTCAAGTTAAAACTCGAAACATTGATTTTATTGGAAAAGTCAAGTCCTATAGAAAGACTGTAGTAAAAAGTCAATATCTCAGCCAAATCGCAATTTGCGCCTATATCCTCTTAGGGTTTTTCTGGTCTATACATCTCCTACCTATCATTTTTTTATGGAAAAAAATAAGTCCGCCGTCAAACGGTTAATAATCGTAATTTGAGAATATCATTTTTCAATTTTGTTATAGTACTATCTATCAATTGCATATATAAACCTTAGATTACTGAATTATAAAATATTCATCTGTAATTCAAATCAATGAATTTCATCAACAATATCTAGATATAATTCGTGGACATTATCAATGTAAGTTTTTATAAGAATTAAAAGAAACAAGACGCTATCTAACGTAATACATGTATATAAAATAGAACAACTCTAATGACAAAGTCAGAAATGTAGAATCTGCATCTTTTAGACGAAGTATTTTCTTTAATATTTACTATTGTATAACTTAACAGATAAACTTCAATCTAATTTTAAATACTAGTTTAACTTATAATATATAAATTATATCTTACGGATCAACAGTAGGATAAGCATTTACACCATATGATGAAACACCAGTTCCATAATTAGTATAGATATTTTGTTGTCCATATGGATCATAAATTTGTTGTTGATGTTGATTATTATTTAAAGTTTTTGGTTTAGCTCTTTTGACATCAACAGTTATATCTCCAATAGTATGTCTTTGTAATCGAAGTACTTCTTGTGCTGATTGTTCATTTTGAAATGAAATAAAACAAAATGGACGTCGTTCATTTTTTTCTTTGTCGTATGGTAAATCAATATCTAAAAATTATAGAATAATTTCAAAAGAAACATGTTTTTTATTTTTTTTATTTTGTTCTTTCATACCATCAATTATTCCAAATTGTGAAAAATATTCTCTTAATTGTACATCAGAAAAATGTGGATCAAGACCACCAATAAATACTTTACGATTATTATTTGATATTGAATTTAATGATGATGATGATGATGTTGACATATGATGATGATGAGTATTATGATTATTATTATGATTATGATTATTATTGTTATTATTATTATTATTTGTAACAGCTAAACGACGATGTGCAGGTTTTGGATCAATTTTCCTACCTTTGACAAAATGTTCATTTTGTGAAAGAATTTTATCGACTATATCTTTTCTATCAAATATAAGAAAAGCAAAACCACGACTACGTCCTGTTGTTGGATCATGTTTAATTGAACAATCAAGAATATTACCAAAATTAGAAAAATATTCACGTAAATCTTCTTGTGTTGTATCCCATGTTAAGCCACCTAAAAAATATTTCAAAAAAAACAAAGAATTCTTTTTTTCTATTAATTTTAAAAATAATTACCAACAAATAATTTTCTATCATCTTCAGGTTTCTGACCATTAAAATCAGGCATTGGTGATATTTGACCATCACCATTATTAGAATTTATTGTTGCCATTTGAAACTAGATATAAAAATAATCGCAAATGCCAAAAACAATAAAAAAAAAAGATTTATTTTGTTTTTTTTTCCTTTTTATTTTATTGTGTCCGTGAAAATATCTATTTTGAGATAAAATACTTACATAATATATGAAATGAATTTATTCGTTAATGTAAAAGGGAAGTTGAAGTAAGAACTGAAAATCGAACAAGCACAAATACTAATGTCTGAAATAAGAAAAAATAACAACACACAAAAACAAACAAACGATAGAAACCTATTAATAATAAAACAATGAATAAAAAGAAAATTATAAAAGAACTGTTTATTATATTCTATTCGTTTGATCAATTGTCTATGAAGATTTAAATTGATTATTTCTTGAGATTTTCATAGATGATTGACATTGTTTATTGTATAGACATTGAAAAAAATAATGTCAACACAAATGAGCCAACAATTTTTTTTTTTCATGGTCATATGTTGTCACTGTGTGTGAGGATTGCCATGATAGAATTCTTCAAATCGACTCGATTATGATGTTTTTTGTGTAATTAGTAATTCAAATTTTTAATATTAAGAAATTTAACAAGGAAAAAATAAGTTCTTTTTTTTTTGAAGATTATTAAAACAAAAAATATTGTTGCTTATGAAGATTAATTTAATTAAGTTTAAGGTCATCGGGAAGTAGATGTCGATAGTGTTCAATATACTTGAAGAAGACTCTGTTATAGATATTTATTTATTTATAAAATACAGTAATTTAAATTATTTTTTGTTTTACAATAAAGATGTGTAGAATAAATTTTTTCGTATATTGTGCCCTGAATGAGAAAAATTGGTGGCTCGAAGCAACTAGCATATCATACCATTATTGACATTATAAGCTATACATCTCTATTTTCCAATACAATGTCTGGAAAATGTTTCACAATTGTTGTGAATCAGACAAAAATCAACGATTTCAATCGGCAAGCAAGTACAGCTTCCTCAAATGACTGTATATAGGTTTTCGGCAAGTATCCACGATAAAATTGAAAGAACTTGGAAACAAGAGCTCAGTGGTCGAATTTTTCCGATTTCAGTCTGAACTGACTATATTCGAACAGAATGAACTATCAGATTCCTGTTTCCAAGTACTAATAGCCATTTCAAAAAAAGAAAAAGAATACTTTTTGAATAAATTTTGATAGAAACTAGATAGAGAGGTTCGGTTTTCATCATTTAACAGAGGAGATGAAACTGCATCGAATAGTCTATATCGGATTTTTTCAAGAAGTTTTCTCAGAGTCTCTTGCCAATTTTTTCAAAAACTTCAGGGTTTTCAATAAATTTATAAGATGAATTTTTTGTTAAAAAATGAGAAAAAAAGTTAATTTTTTATGAAAAATCTCCTAGTAACATGCAGTAAAATATGTATAACTCGTGATTGACTAAAGCTTACAACATCGGACTTACAGAATTTATGGATCTTCAGTTAATGATTCTAGTGCACTCCTGAGAATTGAGATCGTAAAAATTTTACATTAAACAATCTTTTGTGTTTAACAAACTTGATGGTAGACTCTGAGAAAACTTGTTAAAAAAATTCTAGTATAGACGATTCGATATGGTTTCATGTTCTCTTTTAAACGATGAAAACCGAACATCTCTATCTAGTTTCTGTCAGAAGTTATTCAAAAAATATTTATCCTTTTTCTTCTTTGAAATGGATATTAATTATTTTCTATAGTTCTCTGAGTGGAATCAATCGTACTTCATTCATTTAAGATCATGAGACGTTTATTTTTGTTGTATTGTAAGCAGTTGACAGAATCATATATGATCAATCGTTTGTAACATGATAACTGTGGTCTGTAATATAAGTCATATTGGAACATTTTTATAGATCAGAAATAAAAAATAGTTGACCGATGGTTCTACGATACGAAATTTAGTTCAGAAGTTTATAGTAAAATAACAAAAGTTGTTTTTAAGTCGAAGATTTCAACTCAGACAAAAAAAAAGGTAATGCGATAAAAAAAAGAGATGTAAGACGCTTTATCTGACTAGAAATTACTACAAAGAAACATATGTTTCTCTGATATGCTCAACATATGGGCTAAAATTTTTTTATAAAATTAAAATTGCTTGATCGATAGTTTTTATGAACTTATTTCAAAATTACAATTCTGATAGAAAAATCGAACCAAGAAAAAATGATTTTGATTATAACATATATCTACGTTATTTAATGATGCAATAAAATCCAGTGTCTCATGTACCAGAAGAGTAGCCAAAAGTTCATTATGATGTGCTAGAGCTCACTGATATTGTTATTTTCAATAATGATAACACAAAGAAAAAAGGTTTATACTTTAAAGATACAATTAAAAATAGGTCATTAATAAACTAGATAAATTCTTATATAGATCTAAATCTGCTGTAGAATTAACAAATAAAACGTTCATACAGAAAGTAATATTTAATTCGAGAAGAAGAAAAAGAAACAACTAATTCTACATTTTTCAAATATTCATATCAAAAGTCTGATGTATAAATTGTTTTATTTGATTTCATTTACTAAAAATAGGTAAACTTGACGAGGTATATATAGGATTTGATGGTAATAAAATAATATGGTAGGTATCTTGTGATTGTTTAGGCATTGTTGGAATAATACTAAAATTAAAATTTGAAACAAGAAAAGATTATTTTCTAATCTAATTTAAAACAAAAACAGACATACATTAAAAGTCAGTTATAAATTCACCCTGATTCATATGACTGGAAAAACAGATTAGATTTTCTTTTTTTATGTTATTTGTTTTATATACTTACTTAACACGATTAATATGATGATTCATAACTTCTTGTACATTATCATTTGAATAAAGTGATATAGGTGAATTAAATTGACGATGAACAAGATTTGGTGGATTAAAATGTTGTGTTTGAACATTAGGATTTACATGAACTTGTTTTTGATATGAAGGTATATATCTATCAGTTTCATTATTTAATGGTTCTTTCCATGGTGATGAATTTTGATAAGTTGTTGTTGCTGATGTAGTTCGACTACGATGATTATATGTTGGACCTGGATAAACAAAACGAATAGGAGGATACGAAATATTCTCACGTTGATTGCCTCGTGCTGTATGAAAAGAAGGTGGTTGCATATAACCTCGTGTTTTCGTTGATACCGATGGAACTGGACCAGGCATCATTGGACTACCTGTTTGACTGAAACAAAAAAAGAAAAAAATATTTCGAATTTCGATATAAAAAGAATTTAGGATAAATTATATACCTAAGCAATGGTTTAGGTTCAGGTATTCTTTCCAGCGGTCGATTTCGAAAATATGACTAACAAGAAAAAAAATCATAAAACATTTTCAAAAAAAATTCGAAAGATATTTATACCAAAGGACTAAGTTGATTGGGTGATGAAGACCAAGATGGACTTGAATTTCCATATGACCATGGTACAGCTGATGTTGAACGTTGATTTTGTGACAATGATATATGAGGAATTTGATTGGATCCTCTACAAAAAAAAACAATATAAAACATAATAAATAATCTTTTCTTTAATTGAACTTTTGTATAAGAAATGTTATTTGACCACCAGCTCGTTGTATTAATTCAAGTGCATCTGTATGAAACATATGACTAATTGGTTGTTGATTTATTTCAAGAATAATATCACCACGCTGAAGATTACCATCAGCTGGACTACCAGCATTAATCTATATTTCAAAAAGTTTTAAAATTTTATATCAATCAAAAAATGTTTTTTGTTTTGAATTACTTTATTAATAGTAAATGGTGTTCGAAAATCTGCTCCACCTTGCAATCGAAAACCCCATGGAGTATGCAAACTATCTCGTTGAAGAGTAACCTTCATCATTTGTGTTGTTGCCATTAGCTGTTAGTCGTATAGATTAATGTCTCACATCCTTATTTTTTCCTATATCTATTTATTTATAGAATAGAGAATAATTTTTTTTCTCGCTTCTATCTCTATTTGAACTTTTCTCTCGTTATATTTTTCTATCTAAACAACAATTTATCTCTTACTGTCGAATATCCTTTAATCATTCCTATAGAATATTTATCGTCTATCTATCTTTGGAAAATAATGTATTGTTATGATGGTAGAACGATAAAATTCATCTTGGTCCTCCTACTTCTATCGGTAGTCATTGCTTCTTCATCAATAACTTTTGCGTTCGCTATCCCGCATAGATCTTCTTCGAAGGAATCATGTTATGTGTAGAATTAATAACAACAACAATAGCAATGAGAATGACGACGTTAATATCTTCTCTCTTTTTGTACTGAGATTGGTGATCTCAGTTGCACATGTTTTTTCATATATTATCAACAAAAACATCTACTAGTTGTCTAATTAGAGGTTGAACTAAATCATTTTTGATTTAATATAAGAAAAAAGAAATTTTGATAATAAATCCTTTTGATAATTGATTATATTTATCAGTTAGTTTATTCTTTATTGAATCTATGTCAGAATAATTAAGGATTAGATTTATGACTCTCATTCGCTTCTATTTACAATGAATTTGTTGTCGTAGAGAATAGATCAATTCAATCGATAAGCAACGAGATAATCGACACGAAGAGTAAATATTGAATTTGATTATTCAATAATCTTAAATAGATTTTCTAATAAATTATATTAGCCTGATCGAATATTTCGGCATTTAACAATGATTAGAGATTTTTAGAAGGAAAAATAATTGTTTTAACTTGAATCTAATGAATTCAAGCAATAAGTAAAAAACCAAAAGATACAATACAGGTAAGAACGAAGAAGAGTACTTTTTATTTTTAAAATAAGAACAAAATATTTTATAAGATAATTATAAAATGTTTAATAAAAATTTTCAAGTTCAATTATAATTAATGCGGTAGAAAATTTTAATATGAATTTTCCTTCATTTTCAATAAGCTTTGCACAATGGTAATTTGATCTTCATCGTTCATCTGAGATAATAAAAGAAACTCCGTCATCGAAAATCGACATCACTTCGTATCATATTTATATAATCCTTTGTGAATTTTTTTCTTTTTGTTTTTATTTATCAGAGATATACACATCGAAAGTTATCACTTTCTGTTGCGATGATCTTGAAAATGGAGAGTTGAAAAATACATAGATAAACGATTTTGTACTGCCTTATTCATTCATCGAGGCAGATAAAAGTTATTTTAACATCGTGAATTTGTTGTGAATCTTTTTCTGTACAAATCTATTACATTTGTTACACTATAGATAACAAAAGTAAAAACAGCTCGTTGCAGTTAGAGGGCTGCGGGTTACGCTATTTTGACAACCTGACCCCGCCCTGCCCTGCAAATTTTTTCACATATCCTGCCTTACCCTATTCCGTTAGTTTATTTCATAACCTTTAACCTGCCCTGACCTGTTTTCTTTAAAACCAAAGAAAATTCCAAACTTTTGTATTGATTTATTATACAATTTCATTTTGATTTGTTACAGCCATGAAGCAAAAGAAACAACAATATATATGTCAAAAATTTCTAATCATCAAAATATCATCAACAATATCTGACTTCAGAAACTGTCTTCTTTTTTCTAATATTCGATCTGATGAACTAAAAATGCACTCCGATGTAGGTGTGGATATGCATCTTCTCTTCGCAATATATTCTGTCAAAAGTTTTGTTGTTTTTAGTGTATTTGATTCATCTAAACAATTTTTTAAAATGATAACTATAGTAGAAGTTTTCATTTGATATGGAATATGATAATATCTCATAGCACAATAGACATTGTACGAACAATTGATATTCATTACTCAAACGTTTAATACATCATAAATGTTCTCAAAATGAACCATGAGATGATGACGCTGGTTCTACTGTAGCTATAAATTCACCAGTTTTAAGTTTTTCTATCATCTGCTTCTTTTTTCGTTCCATAACTTTTTTTGAATTAGACATAGTTCATATCTCACTAATAGAAAAATCTAACTAATATTGATGATGATATTTGAGAGATTAGTTAATGATGATAATGAAGAAAACAACAGAATAATACTCAAAACAAGAAAACTAAATGCACACTTGAGTAGCTACATAGTGTATAATAGATAGGTTACTGGCATATCTGCCTCTATTGAATATCTTTGCGACCCATCTAATTTGATTTTTCAGTTCATTTTCACTTCTATCTTTTTTCTTAATGTATAACTTTAGAAAATAAGTCGACAATATCTAGCACATAAAACTAGTCACAGGTTGACAGGTTGCGATACTCGTGCCCTGCAACCTGCCCTTGCCCTGCAGGGCTCTAAACTTAAGGTGACAAAAAGATGAAAATTACACTGCAGCAAGATATATGGAAGTTCTAGTTTTACTAAAATTTTCATTTCACTTGATCGAACTGCGACGATTCTAGAAGGATAGAAAGTCGTGGTAACGCACTCATTCAAAAGGACCTCTTCCATCAGAGGCACCTAAAAAAGCTCACATTCCTAAAAATTTTCTGGCTCTGAACAAAATACTTTTATCTGTATTTGAAGCTAAGACAACAGACGTGACAATGGTGAAATGTGTTTTTTGAAAGATTGTTCCTATAAAGAGTTATCACCAAAACACATTACGGTAACGCACTCAGCACTTGGTAACACACTCATCAATTTTTTTGAGCTCCTTAAAAAAGCACATTTTTTTAATAGCTTTGACAATAATAGAAGATGATCCATTGACGTCAAACTGTAGCTCAATCTACGATAATATCACTATTATTTCCATTTTTTAAATGATAAAATAGTGTTCGCAATATGATAATAGATAATAGAGCCCTTTTTATAATCATTTTTGCACAAAAAACGCTTGATTTTGGCTGGCAACCATCATTTCTTCTCGTCATTATTGAAAATAAATGACATCTATCAATAGAGAATATATAAAAACCTGTAAACAATTTTTGAATGAATAAGTTCAGGCGTCTTATGTAGCTGGACAGGCTGATTTCTTAGATATTTAATGTTTTTCGACGAAATTAATAAGAGAATTAGAAATCTTTCCATGAAAGGGAATAGTATTCTTTTGTATTAATCTTGCGCATAAACATTTCAAGCTAAGTTTTGTTCTCGTTTTAAGAAATTGCTTAATATTTGAATTTCTTGCAATGTTGATCGGTGTCTCTCTTAAAACATTGACATGATCTAGATGAGCACCAGCATCACAGAGAGATTGGATTATAGTATCATCAACTACATTTGAGTTGGACACAAATATATGAAGTGGTGTGTTTCGAACAGCATCTGTTGCATTCACATCAGCACCGCAATATAAAAGTATACGAGCTGTGTGTATACATGGATATCTATAATAATAGATAATCTTTTATAAATAAGTAATCTAAGATAGAAAACATACTTGCAAATGAAATCGATGAAATAATCTTTTGCAGACGTATGATTATTTAGACTTAAATGTAGTAGAGAAGATCTATAGGCTTGAGTAACATACTGATGTTGAACTATGATGCGAATATTTCGATAAAATATTTTACGTTCATCATATGAAATGATTGATTTTGACAGAATCTGAACAATAAACTCTAAGTAGAAGAAAGAAGGAAATTTCTGCTAAACATCTCAATACCTGACTAACAATTGTTATTAGGAAAAGTAAAGTATGCAGATTATAATCAAAATTCTTTGTATTATGTTCTAACTCTTCAACTATTACTGTTATTATTGTTTGCCAAGTCACAATTGGTATCGATATTGATTTACGTGTCATGTCACTAAAAATTGAAGCCCACTGACGCAAATTATTAATGTTGATAGATAATGAATGTTGTCGACATAAATTAAGTTCGTACAACCAAAAACAAATTCCTCTATGATATTGTGCATTATCAATTAGAGCGGCACCACGATATCGTAGAGAACGGTGGTATTTTGCATTAGTTGATCCAAGTAAACGTTCACGTACGAGTAATGCTTCAATGTAAATATAATCATCGTTTAATCGAGATTTTTCTAACTCATCCATTGTTTGACATTCTTGTCGATTATCGAGCACTTCAACGGTTGATAAACGTCGAATTTTAGGAAGATTATGTTGAGATCGAAGTTCAAGTGCTCCATAGAAGTATTCAAACGACTTTTTAAGATTACAAATTCCATGTTCACGACAGGTAAAAGCACTTCCAAATAATTCTTGCGCTTCAATCTGTTCTAGCAATGAACATTGTGATGAAATAACATCGACAAGATCAATTCGTCTCTTGTCAGCTGCTAATAATAGTGGAGACATTTGATCATAATTTGCTCGAAAATTTCGAGCACCATGATTCAATAAAAATCGAACTAATTCTAATGATGTACGATCTACAGCAAAGTAGAGTGGTGAACGTCCATCATCTGTCGATTCATTCACATCACAACCTAATTCATCAACAAGATAAGTTGTCATTTTTAAACCTCCATTGTAAACACTTGCAATAAGATTCGTTTCATTATGTATTTTGGCAATATGTATATCAGCACCATTCTTGTTCAAATAACGAGCCATATCAATATTACCATTCCAACAAGCACAACGAAATGCTGTTGAATTCGTTTTGGTTGGATGATTGATTTGAGCTCCATGTTCGACAAGTAATTTCACAATTTTAAAATTATTGATGGCAGCTGCTACCCATAAAACAGTCACATTTTGATACAATAATAAACTTTGATCGTTTTCTATGAGTTGTATATCATTTAGCACTTCGAGATCTAGTCTAGAATAATTAAGTAATATTTGTACCATACCTTCAAACTTATTTAAACAAGCAATCATAAGTAAAGTGCATTTTTGTTTGTCCGGTTCATCATACGTTCGGTTTAAATAAATTTCAGGATTGTTCAATGCCGATAAATGTTTTTCAAGCGCTTTGATATCTCCTTGACGAACAGCCGATAATAAGAAGTTACTTACTTCTTCTTTGAAGTCATCATTGAATTTCATCATAATTGTAATCACATACAACTGAAAAAAGATGTTTTACCTTGCATTTATATTCGCACATGCAAGTTGTATTGATTTGATTTTTCTCTGTTCTTCTACCTTCGTGCCCTGTTTACGATGAGTCATAGTGTGTACAGAAGGGAAAAAACATTTTAATCAAACAGAACAATAAAAAGAAATCTTTTGTCTACTAGCTTTTATTTTTCTAAAATATCTCTACATTAATGCAAAAAAAATTTTTTCAATTTGGATCAAACATGATTCATTTGATTCTTTGATAACATTAGTGACAAGTGTTCATGAGTTTTTACCTAATATTTGATTATAATAATCTTGTATGTAAAATGATTGATGATGATGAATGGAAGGAAAGATTTACTGATAAAAAATAATTTAAAATGCGATTCTTCTTACTCTCAAAAACTGTAGGATATTTGAATTCATTCCATAATCAATATCGTAAGACGAGAATCAATTAAGTTTTGAAATCTTCTACAATTATTAATAATATTTTACTATTTTCGAATCATACTCGGTATCTGCTCATCAAATAACTGAATTGTGTATGTTCAAAATTACGAGATAACCTTGAGTTGTCTAAATTGAGTTATAAAATAATTGTTATGGTAAAATTTTCAGCGCTATATCATCATGTTTGACAGAGATATTCACCAAACAAAGGTCAAAAATAGTTCTATCACAGCACCAAGATTTCTCTATGGGCCTTCATTTTATACATTTAAATTTCTCTTTGTTTGAAAGCTTGTGTCTAGGGCTAGCCCCTCTCGTGGTTCTTTTTTTTAAACTCTTACTTTTTAAGCGAAAAAAAAGGATGACAAGTTTAATGACTCAAAAAAGCCCTAAAACAATGTCACTGTTTGTATAGAGGTGTTTTCTTATATGATAATAAAAAGGCTTATTTTAAAAAAAAGGGCTACGAGGGGAGGCTAGCCCTAAATACAAGCTTTCAAACAAAAAAACAAATATATGGCTTTATCTTTTATTATGACAGAGTTCTGCTGGTGCTACGTCGTTGAACCCACGTTCTGAGAAAAACGAAAATTTATTTTCGGTTTTTTGTAAAAATGGCTTGTCTTTCGAATAAGGAATGACGGTATTTCTCCATGAATTTATCGCAATTTCGATAATTCTGGCGAAAAAGGACTTTTTTGAGAGGACCTTAAAATATTATACTTTGCAGCTAATTTATATCATGATAAACTTTTATTAATGTCGTTTTCATTAGTTAATTTAGTGTTTTCGTTAAATGTAAGTTTGTGCAGTAAAGACTTTTACTTTTCTATGATACACTAGTCAGTCAGTTTTTGTAGGGTGCGGATGTATGTGGCTAAGTGTGGGGTAGGGGTGTAGAGTGTGAATAGGAATGAGAATCCTCTCTATACCCACACCGAATGATATCATTCTAGCCTAATTTTCCAATAATAATTATTTCTTGAGTTCGTTACTTATAGTTGTAACGGGATAAAACTGATAACAATAATAAATTTATCAAAACGTTATTGATGAAAGACTAAAACAAAATTTGTTTTTTGCTACTGTTGAAAGAATTCTTATTTATATTTTGCAATGCATGGAATAGATTTAAGAGTAAAAATCTGATTTATGCATTACTCCGAACAGAGACGATCAGACAGACTGATGGGTATTATATACCAGTGAAGTGTTTGACTCTGTAATAGATACGGAAAGACTTCGAAATTTGTTTGCCTTTTTTTTATTGAATAAATTTTCTTTTTAATAATCAGAAAAGTTTCAGACAAACCGTATTAACAGCAGGTTTCTCTGACATAGCAAATAAAACACAGATTTCGAAGAACAAAATAGAATCAGTAGAATCTGCTAAATCATTCTTACCCTCAAATAGTTTTGACTTCCGTTCAAAGGCTTCATTTGTTTCAACTTTTAACAATTGTCAAGAGAACATTTCGTTTGAGAGCTTATCTATGAATAACTGAAATTCTCTAATGAAATTCCATTTCTTTCAACGAACTTCGCTTTAGGATAACTCAGAATACAGTTTGCTTGAAGTAAATCATTTCGTCGTAAAAATTCTTGTTATTTTGTGTGATATTTTTGGAAATCCAAGTTTTTCTCTTATCCGTAAGGAAAAACATAATCAGAGTGAATAGTTGTGACTTATTATTGCTAATAAAGATGTGGAATATTTGCTGATATAACTAAGTAGTTTCTAGCAATGCACATCGTATGTAACAGTATTTGTTGTAATCTCACTGATAATGATCAGGCAATATTTGAAGTGGGTTTGATTCTTGAGGAAAAACAAGTTTTCACAAAACAGAATTTTTTTCTTTTTTTTTTTGGGAACGAACATATTGCATATTGTATAGTTTTGCTCTTGTAATGTGATTGAATAGGATTGCATTTCAGTTTTTTCATTTTTCATAATTAAGCATGTCAAACGTTTACCGATTTACTTTGGTCAAATATTCATCAATTTCTCATTATTATTATTATTATTATTATACCATTTATTCAATTTATTAGAAATGATTAGCTTCTTTTTTTTAGCTCATGATCGTCTACTAGACGTATCATGCTGGCATTGGATCTAATTGGAATACATCTAACAACAACAACATTTTTACTGAAAAATCAAGAATGAAAACAAAAATTAACTTTTCAACTCCAAGTAACAATACTTAAAATAGACTTTTGGAAGAAAATCTTATTTATTCATAGTGAACTGTTTTTTCTTTTGATGAAATCGTGTATTGTGCACTATGTGATTTATAAATTAGATGCAAAAATATTTTGTATCATAAAATTCTTGATTCATACCATATTCATCAGATTTCCGATCAAACTCTTCGTCAACAACAATAATCCACTTCAGTATCTGCCTTTCGTCATACACACAAAATTCATCTCGCTGATCATCCTCATGGTTATAGTAGACTGTATCGAATTCGGGATGCCACCGGTCCGTGTTTCCAACCGTATACAATTCATTCTTTCTTACCTCCTTCACATTACCCATACGAACTTCGGCAGCAATAATAGCACCTCGAAAGCGTGCTTTTCCGAGAGTATTCTCGATTGAGCGCGCGAAGTAGATACCAAAGCCAAGCATTTGTGGTGGATTCGTCGAGCGACGAAAGTCGCTGTGACTGATAAGAAGAGCTGCCTGAGCGCTTGTACGGTGGAATCCGATGTAAGTATCGGCTGATGCATTAATACGCTTTACCTCTGACCAGCGTGATTGCGGTTGATAATCACTTAAATGAAATATCAAAATGTGCTCAAGTTCACGATTTGTGCATGGCTCATGGTCACACAATTTGTCTCCATATCGGCCAGTACGCTTGCTACCTAGGAGTTGATAAGGTAAAAAACGTAGATGTTTTTTTGATAGCGGTGTAGTTGGCATTATAATGTTCGGTATAACGAAATTCGGTTTATAGTGCCACCACACACGATAGTGATAGTAGTCCAAGAGCGAAGTTAAGAAAAGAAAAATGAATGAAATAGCGACAATAACGGCCAGACTTTTTGTTGTTATATGATTTCGCAACGAAAGACAAATTACTATAGTTGCGATGCGAACACAAGAAACCATTATGAGAAACAAAAGCTGTAGTTGAAAACGTACTTTTGGACGTGCACGGTAACATGGACAATTACAGTTAAACGAGATGAACCGATGTGTTGCTTTTGCTCTGAACAGTTTACAGAGTGTTGTGCGAAAAGTACTGCTAAACACGAGACAACAGCAACTAGAGGCCATTATCAATAGACCACAAATAAAAGGGAATAAGACCACCGTTCGAATAATACCAACAATAAACAGGACCATAATGATAGTCCGATTTTTAAAACTAATTAATTCCCAGTTGTCATCGTCAGGGTGTTTAATTTTAAAGAATAGTTCACGTTTATAACCGAAGACGAGGAGAAAAAGTACCAAAATTAGTCCAAATTCAAATAAGGTGATAATAGCATGAAAATAAAAGAGTAAACGGTAAAAGCGAGAGTGGAAGGACATATTTTTGTAGTTAAAAAGGTGTGTTGATCTCGTTGTTGTGTCAATTGATGACAGTAAAGAGTAACATACTTAGTTTTATTCTTTGAAGATAAGAGAGTTTTTTATCAGTAAGGGGAGACAGAATTAAATTAGCCAATAAAAGTTTGTTTTTATCCAAGTGAAGAACATAAAAGACATAAATATGTCTTGATCATAAGAGTTGTATTCGTTTTTGAAACAGGATTAGAAATGATTTCTGTAAAATTTATGATGTAAAAAATTAACTATTAAGTACTTTTCGCTCGATTATGTTAAGTAAAAAAGTATTTTTATATTGATTTTTGAAAGTATTAACAAGTATTTATGCTACTGAACTTTTAATGAATATAGTAACTTAACTACTTTGTAGTAATCGATATTTTAAGTAGCTAATATACGGTTTTACCTAAAATTATAGTGGCATTAACACTATTTAATTACTTAACAGTATACTTATAGTCACTTAAAAATATTCACTTATTAGTACTTTTTTTTACGTAACGCGACGGAGCAGAAAGTACTTAATAGTGATTTTTTTTTGTATCACAAATTTTCCGTGGTTAGTTATTCTTTATTACTCATTGTTTCATAGTACTTTTTATTACATACTTTGTCATAAGAATTTTTATTATTTGTCGTTTTCTATTACTTTTTAGTTTGAAATTTTACTTATCTTGTTTCTTCGAGGTTGCATCGAAACTTTTTAACTCGAATTTCTCACATTTTTTCGACGTCTTCGAATCCGAAAACGGGTATACAAACCACTTGACCAAACCTATATGCATACATGTATGCATAAAATTGGCTTATAAGTTGATTGAGCTTGAGATTGCACAATTACAATTTAAAAGTACTTTTTTTTTCTGTGAAATAGTTCATAGTAGTTTTCGTGAGCAGATATTTAAAGAGAATTGTCTAAGTTGTGCTTAATAATACTTATCTTTCTCGGTACTTAAAGTCA